TACCGTAATTCTTTTGTCAACAACCAGCGACACCAACGTCATCCTTATCCACCAACTCTGATCGTTTCACTCTTGACCGCACTATGCGGCTTGTTAATTGAGATGAACAAGGAGTCAACACTTCCTCGCAGATCTTTAGTAACCAACAGATATTGATTCAAAGATCTGGCAATACATAATTCTGGTTTGYCTAAAAAGAATGGAGGTCTTAAAACCGGCTGCGGTGCTCCTGGTCGACAGGTTTTGATTCTCTCAGGGATTCGGATTTCAATTTTTGACTCTGAAACGATAATGCTCGAGATATTAATCAGCGCCAATGTTTGACAGCGATGCACTGTATCCAAAGCCAATAACACAACAAACATTTCAGTCAATTTCTTCAAAAGAAGTTCCACCACTGGACCCTATTCCGTCAGCTTTGACAAAACTGGGTCTACGTCCCAAGTGGATTCGTACTTAGGACATCCAGGCCTCATCCTCGAAGAACCCTTGATAATCGGCTTAATAAAGGGCTGTTCGAGATACTCTCACTCGATATCAAAGATAACGCCGCCCTGACTGAGTTTAGCGCGCTGTGTCCAACTCCATCACCGAACTTTTCAGTCAAGAATCTCAAAAACTTCTCCACAGACACCTCATATTTGTCTCCGATGACCTGATTATTCCAACGCCACCAAAGCTTCAAAGTTCCATTGTAATTTTTTAATGTTGCTTCTGCTAGTGAAGATAGTGAAATATCCACTGATCTTAGACATGCCCTTGATTAAAAGTGCCTTGCTGATAACGTTTTGTTTATCATCTTTGATTTTCTTAATTACTCTAGTTAGGATGGAAAAGGAAGAAAAGGCATAAAATATCCCATCTGACCAACTAACTGTAAAAGCATCAAACGCGAAGGCATCCGGATCTCYCATCCACGAGCAATAGGCTATGTTTAGTATTGATTCACGAAGCAAATAGATCGATTCTCAGATTCCCGAATCTTCTGATGATTCTTTTAAACACATAGTCTGCTAATTCTAACTCCGCGTCTAAGTTATCGATTCTTGATGATCGGTCAGCCTCCACATTTTCCTTCAACGGGATGAAGAAGGCGTAAGCCTATAACTGGCGGCCCTCGCACCGATTCCATAGCTCACTCGCCAAGCTATGTAGCCCGGCATAACGGACACCATCCATCCTATTGATATATGCCATCGTTGTCGTGTTGTCCACCATGAGTATATCATCACTGTCACACCATGAAACATCACTGTCCCTCCGATCCGTTGCAAAACACTACAAGGCCAATAGCGCTGCTTTAAGCTTCAGGTGGCTTATATGAAGACTTCTTTCCTCCTGACTCCATAACCTATTGGCGCTTTCACCTTTCTACTGGCATCTGGCAAGGCCTTAAACAACCACTCTTAGTCCTCTAGGGTATATTTCGGTACGGACATGGCTGAATCAAAACAACCTCTACTTCTTTCTAGAGCTTGGACTTTTAATTGATCTACAGTGATCTACAGTGTAGCAAACTGTACTTAACTGCCGGACAACACGTTACTACTGACTCAACAACCTTGGCAAAATCACGAATCTTCACCGTGTCTTGCTTCCTAAGATCCTTGATCAGTTTCATTATTGAGAATATTTTCTCTCCTGGAAGCTTCACCCTCATTGTAGATGAGTCAAAAATAAACCC